CAGAAATACGTCCATGATGGCAAGTTAAAAGTGAATTCAAATCATCTATATAGACACTAAAATCTTCATTACGTTTTCTTGGACCAGTTTCTGTGTGAGAAGAAAAACAATGGTCATTAGGAGATAATGGTTTTGACAAAGGAAAATTAAATTTAGAAAAGACAGTATCTACTTCTTCTATTCCAATGCACTTATCATGAGAATGAGATGGAATGTGTGGTGTTGAAGTTGTTTTAGCAGGAATAAGAATCCAATTTTTCATTGAATAAATTTGATTAATGTCACTATGAAAAGATGGTGGAATAATTTGGTCATTGTAATGTTGGAGATAACCTGAGATGATCCGGTCTTTAATATCACAAACTCTAATTGCATTTAGTCCTGTTTCGTCTGCTTTAGTAATATTTATAATATTAGAAAATTTTTTTAAAGTTTCATTTCTTTTATCATTAATATGAGATGATAATAGTGGTTCTGTTGAATGACCAATTGAACGAGAAATCCTTAATCTAGTACCAGGAGTTACTTTTTTAATTTTTTTAGCAGAAGTTTTTGTAGGTTGATTTAACATAATATTTTCACGAATAATTGTTCTGGGATTTAATTTAATTGGGGTGATAGACCAGTGTATCATTTGACTCAATACATACATTACTGGGTCTAATAACTTAATTGAACTTCTTGTTGAAAGATGATCATTTGTAGAAATTTTGATAGATTGAGTTTCTGAAGAAAGACATAAATAAAGGATAATTGTCCTGTTAAACGTATAAAAAATTGGTTGAGGGAAATTAGCAAAAGTTGATGAATGAGAAATTGAAGGAACTGTTGGAAGATAACAAATTGAGTCTAATGTTTCTAAGAATAATTCAATACTTAATAATCCAGTAATAAGATTGAAACGTGTTAAAGAAAAGATATTTAATAAACAATGTTGAATTTTAGTGAAAAGTTCAGGTGTTGGGATATACGTTAATTGACAACCAGTAATTAAAATATTAGTAAAATCAAAATTTATTGTTTGGTGTTCTGTTATTAGTACAACATGAATATCTTTATTACTTTTTAATGACTCATTAACGTAAAATAAAGCTTCTTGATGTTTTATATGAGGTAATGTTTTAGAAAAAATAGTACTACGTATTTCATCATTAATTTCATTTAATACAATATCTCCATCTGAAGAAAGAATTACAATTGTTAATTTATTATGAAATAATTTTTGTTGAATTGCAAAGAGAGCATCTTTAATTGTATCTTGATTTGATACATCAATAAGTATAAGACATTCTGCTAATTCTTTTCTTTTCTCTTCATTAAATAATGCAATAACACCCGCATGAAAAGTATTTTTTTCTATAGGAATAGTTTGTTCTTCTTTATTTAAAAAGTAACGTTCTGATTGAATTCTATTAACATTTCTAAACATTGATGAATTTGTTCTTCCAATTTTAAATTCTTGTTTGGGATGAGACACAAAAGCCTCTCTACCATCATCATAATAAACACAAAATCGATGATTAAGATTAGACAGAATTCTAATAGAAAGAGGATCTTCTAATATACTCTTTCCTTTAAGAGAAACAATAAACAATGAATTATAATATCCATCAACCAATTCATATTGTCTTGGTGAATAAACAATTGAACGAGTAACAACAAATGTTCCATCAACAGAAACATTAATAGTAGTTTGACAATTTTGATATTCAAAACATGGGCAAACAATATCAAATACATGAGGAACTGTGAAGATGAGGAATTAGAATTATTGATAAAAGTATTAATAAGTTACAACAAACATGTCTTAAAATATTGAGTAAAAGCAGAATAACAAAAACTAAATGTTTGAGTGATTGATTTAATTAATATGAAAGAAATATCAATAAAATCAATGATAATATAATTTGGATTTGGTACAATAAAAAAACCATATTTCTTTGGAAAAATAATAAACAAATTATTATTTGCTTGTTGAAGTGAAATATTAACTTCATAGTTTGTAATAATACCATTTGTAGAACAAAATATTATTATATTATTAATATCAAGACGTTGTATTTCATTAGATCTAATTGCCTTATTAACAATACCTTTAATAAAATGACTTCCATTTTCTTTATTTTGTATGATTAAATGATTAATTTTAGATTGGTAAATCCCGATTTTGGTTGTCATTTGAATATTAAGATTATTTCTAAGGAAACTAATGAAAAAAACATAGAAAAATATTAATTATTAAAAGCTGTGTAGAACAAAAATCAAAGATTTTTCATACTCATAACGTACTTCTTTTGTTACTATCCATCCATTTTTGCTCAATTTCTTTCTATTTATATTTTTATCTTTTTAAGATATTTAAATCAGGAATTTTGTTTTATATTTTTATATTTATTCTTTTATCATCAAATAAAAAGGAGAATTTCTTTTTTTTTTTAATTTTAAAATTTTTTTTAATTTTTCTAATTTTTCTTATTTTAGCGAACTTAAATGAACTATAACAATTCAAATGATTTTATTCATTATTATTAGTGTTGTTCTTGGTATTGATACAAGTTCAATGAGAAAGTTATGTCAAAGGAAACAATATGTCTCTGCTTTTAGATTATTTAAAGAAAGTTTTAGTAAACGTTATTTGAGTCAATCTGAAGAAATACGAAGAATGGCAATTTTTTCTGTTTGTTTATTTGCTGTTATTTTTTTTTTATTTTGATTTTGAAATAGGTTATTAGTGGCAATAATTTATTCACCTAGCAACGAGTTCAAATGATAGAAAAATTTAATGCCAAAAGAAAAACAGAGAGTGACGTTAAACTTGATATCAATAATTTTACTGACCTTACAAATGAGGAGTTTGTTCAAATGTATATTGGTGGAAAAAAAAAGAATGAAAATGTTAAAGACGAAAACATTGTTAATAAGAATTATATTCCTAAAAAAAATAATTACCCTACAATGTATTCTTTATGTGGTAAAAATATTAATTATAATTCAGAAGCTGATGGTAAAGTCGATCGTTGTAGTCTTGGTGTTGACCAAAAACTTTGTCGTTGTTGTTATGCAGCATCAATAGCTAATTTCCTTCAAATAAAACACCATATTGCTAATGGTGAAAATGTTCAATATTCTATACAACAAATTGTTGATTGTACTGGTGGTAAAACTACAGGGTGTTGTAGTGGAATGTCATATGACGCATTAAACTATAATAGGGTATTTGCTACAAGTGATGTTTATCCATTTAGAGATGCTGAAACCTCTCCAGATTGCCAATCTTATACAAGACCAAGTTGTTATACTGTTAAAGAATTTGCCCAAACACTTACTTCATATAACGAATGGTATGCTCCAACATACAGTGAAATAAAGCAAATTATCTATGATAATAAAGGTGCCATTAGTGGGATTTATGTTCCTCTTAGTGGAGTTGCATCTGAAGTATGGCAAAGTTATTCTAGTGGTATAATAAATGTAAGTTCATATTGTAGTTCTAACAATGGTAATATTTTCACTAACCATATGGTTGTACTTGTTGGATTTGGTTTTGAAGCACAAGGAGAAGGAGTTAATGGTAATTTTGTTGTCATTAGAAATTCTTGGGGAACTGAGTGGGGAGACAAAGGTACTGCTAAGTTATCTGCTGACAGTTTATGTGGAATAGGAAATTGTGATGGTGAGAATGTTCCATGTTCTCATCCAACACTTATCACATTGGAGACTGAAGTAGGTCCATCTACTAAACAAGATTATGGTTGTTTACAAAATAAATGTTCACCAACAAATGATTGTGATGGAGTTAACTGTTTAACTAAAAGTTTAGATCCACCACCTAATCATTCTGTTGGAATTGTTATTATCATGTTGGTAACATGTCTTATGGTGCTTTTCTAAATGAATTTTTTTTTTAAAAAAGAAAATGAAAATTTTATTGAAAAGAATTAACTAAAAACGGTCTTCCGTTTGGAGTGATTGATAATATCTTGACTCTCTTTTATCGTCTTGACCAAGGGTATATGTCGTAAGAACAACTAGTAAATAAATACTGAATGAGAAGGAAACAAAAAAAATTATCAATAAAAACAAACATAAAGCAAAACAGTTTAGTGGATCACAACATAAGTATTTTAATGATATAACATAAGTTTCAACACTAACTAAAACTGAGAATAATAGCTTGAGAATCAAGATTGAGAGATGAATACCAATAGCAATACCAAATTTTAAAAAATACACAAAATACATTTTGTCAATTTTAAGACTCACTTTCAAATTTCTATGAGAATATACTAACCATACTGCTACTCCTCCAAATATTACCAAAACAATAAATTGTTCTATTTATTTAGTGGGGTATCATAAATTAATAATAAACAAACGGTTAATGATTGTAAATGGAATTGAAAGATATGCCCAACTTCTATTAGGTAATGTTGGATCACACTCACCTTCTAGAGAAACATAATAAATAAGTTGGGCACATACTAGAATTAAAAATACAGTATTAACAGTATAGACAATAATTGGAATTATAAATCGATTTTTCATAACTGCAACATTCCCTCCTGAACGATGGTCATAATAATCAAATAAACAAACAGTGAATGCTGTTATAAATAAATAACAACAAATTGATTCTGTCAAACGTTGAATAATATATAAAAAACATGACTGTTTTGATGAATAAAGCATTAAAGAAAATACAAATAACATTAAAAATAAATAAGTAACTACAAAAGAATAATATAATGAACGACTTATAGTTAAACGTACTCTGTTATATCTCTTATGTGACATATATAATGTATGAACAAATTGAATAATTACCAATATAAATAAAAATAAATAAATTGCAATACCAGCAATCGATTCATTTGTCATTGGATATGAGTTTTTGGTGTCTGAGGGATATAACATTACAATTTATCAAAAATAATGTTTTCTAGTTCAAATTACTTTTCAAATAAAAACCTTACTTAAAATAATTTTGATAAAATAAATATTTACTCTTCCTTTTTGTTTTGTCCATCAAAACCATACAATTTAGATTCAAAATACTCAATCAGTGCCTCAGGATTCCTTGTCTTCAATAAGTCAATTGGATAAACATTTCTTGGTCTGCCATCTGGTTGGTATAAAACATGTAATTGCCCTTTTTCATTCCAAATGTCATGAACAACACCATGCTCTTTATATTCTACTCCAATTTTTTTAGGCTTCTTTTGATTCTTTTCAAAGTCATCAACTAAATCACCGTATTTAGTTCTAATATCATCTTCAGTTTCCCAAGTATTATCTTTGGATGAATAATTCTTCCATTTAACTAGATAACTTGTATTTCCATGAACAATTTTCTTTCTAACAATTCGTTCAACTTCAAATGTCTGAGGAACTTCTTCCATAACAATTGGACTAGTAGGTTGATTTTCACTGAACCGATCCATAAAATTATCGAAAGCATTTAGATGATGATTTCTTGTATTTGGTTTTCTGATATGTTCTTTTTTGTGACTTTCAATGTCTTGATCAATTTTTTCGCAAAAAGATAAACTTGATGCAATAGAATCAAAGTCATTGTTTTTAGTTGTTTTTGTTCGTGGTGTTGGAGGTATTGATAATTCTTTGATTGGGTTTTTTTTTAGGAAAGGATAAGTAATTCCAGATTCTTCTCTAAATTCATTATCCAATTGAAGTGTTGTTGATACAAAACATTCATTTAATGGGATGTTCCTGTGGTACAGCAACATTCTACTTACATATAGATATTTCTCTTTATCTTCAGGAGAAGAACAAATTATAGTTGAACTTGAATTAATTTTTCCAAGCACAATAAGTTCATTTAAATCTTCAACAGAGACTAATTCGTTTAGTTGAGAATCTCCAATCATTGACCAATAAAGTTTATCATGTTCTGTTGACCCTTCAAAGTATAATAGCTTAAGTTGTATTAAAGAATACGTCGTTTGTAATGGTAATGAAAAAGTATTTATTTCAACTTTATTGTTTCTAATAACTGCTTTAAACAACTTGACTGCCTTTGATAAGATTAGAGAAGGTTCTGCTCCATATTGGTTTTGAATATGAGTCATTTCGGTTTCTTGAGAAAGAATAGAACATATTTTGATTGTTAGATTTGGTTCTTGAGGTGGTGCTTCGATAGGATAGTAGTGTTGATCATTATTGATTGACCACTCAATAAGTGGTTGAAACTGAAGTGTAATTAGTGACGATGGAGAAACAGAAACAAGTTGGACTGTATATGGTTCTATTCCATATTCTTGATTATCTACCTTTATTTTTAAATTAAATCCTATTCCTCTTCTACACGAATTTACTATACAAAGTGTTGAGTCATGAGAAAGTTGAAATGACTCATCTTTAAAATTACTGTTCACTATTTTGTTTTTGTTAATCATAAAAAACTCCACCCCACAAATAATTAATGATTGATGAGTTTGAACTTTTTCAATAGGAATGACACTGAATAAAATCTTTTTATATAAATCATCTAAATATTGAGCTGCTTCATTTGAAAATTCATTTCCAAAAGTTTTTATTTCTTTTTGGAAGTAATTAATACTATTTTAGTTATAACCAAGACTCTCAAAACACACTGTCAAAAAACTAAAACAAACGGATTTAAATCAGTATCAAATAACTCCCATTGAAATGTTATGAATTGATCTTCAAATAATTGATTAGAATCAAGGTAGTCTTTTAGAAATCTAACAGTCCTTTTTTCATTCATTTCTATTTCAATAGCATCACCATTTCCATTGAGTACTTTGAGATTAAGTTTCATTAACTTTTAACAAACAGATTTTAACCTTAAATACTTTTATCTTTTCTACAAAAATGATTATCCTCAAGAAAGATTGATATCAAAAGACAAACAACTTGGTTATATATAAAAAAAAGAAAACAGTTATTCATTTTTAGCTTTCTTTGATGAACGAGATACTGTAGTTCCAACTTTTTGCCATTCAATATAGTTTGCTCGTAAATAAGGCATTGGTAATCCAAATGCTAATAAACAAAATGCTAATCCGATTCCATAGATTGAAAGCATTACAAATACGTTTTGTGTAATAAAGCCAATAATAAATCCAAGAATCTAAAGACAGTTAATAACAAAATAAACAAATTAATGAAAATGACATTGTAACAAAAAAAAATTCAATGAAGAACAAACCGTGATGATTGGAATGAGAGTTGAAATATTTTTGTTAACAATCCTTTGTCCAACAAAGTCAATTGGAGGAATACTAAATTGAAGTTTGTTCATTGAAAATAATAAGATTATATCTTGTTAAAAATTTATCTTAAAAATAAATAACACAATACTACCAAGAAACGATGAATTTTGTTATTTAAGCAAAAAAATCAGGAACGGCTTTAGGAATTTGCTGTCGTAATGGCTTCCAATTCTTTGGCATAGCAGAGAGGGGTGGTGCACAATATTGAACTGAGTCAATCACTCCAGCACCACTAACTTCCAAATAACACCCTAAATTACCAAATTCTCCAACAAAATTTGTTGCACTCCAAATAGAGTGAATGGATTTATTATCAGAAAGTACTTCACCTAATGGTTGTAGTGAATTTGTGTTAATAAGAAGCTTAAAATGTCTTGAAGGATTATTAGAATTTTCTTTTTCAAGGTATTGAGCAACGTCAGCTTCAGTAAATTGGTATTCATCATTTCGTTCATACCATTTGAAATATTTTGTGTATTTTTCTTCTTTAGATTGAGCAATAATAAACCAAGTTAAAGCGTCAGATGCAGTGAGATTCTTTACACGAGGAAGAGTATTAAGATTATCTAATGAGACATGATTTAAAATTCCACCATGACAACATAAATAAGTTTCTTGAACAACAGCAGCAATAGGTAAATATTTGAATGTTTCCACAATCATTTGGTAAACATTATCATTACCATATTTACTAAAACATTCAGATTGAAATCCACCAATTTCACTAAACATTTTAAGTTCATTTTGACCACGGAGCATAATTATTTTAGTTGGATATAAAACTTTATAACACATTAAGATGATGTAAACCTCTAATCCATTCATTCCAAAATTAACATAATCTCCTAAAAACAAATAATTTGTAAATGGTATTTTCCCTGACATTTTAAAAATATTTAATAAATCATGTAATTGTCCATTTAAACATCCAACAATTGTTACTTGACTATTAATTGGAACAACATTTTGTTCTCTTAAACAAATAACTTTAAATTGTTCACAAATTTCTTTTATAACTTCTTCATGAATAACTTCTAATTCACTGACTTTATTAATACATTCATTTAAATGTGCCATAGTCGTAACCATCTCTTTCTTTTCTTTCTTTTTTTTTAGAAAATTTTATTATTTTTTTTATAAGTTCTTCTTATTTTAAGATTTTTATTTTTTTTTTTTTTTTTGATTCTAAAAATTAATTGAACTAAAATTTTGTTTCTTTTTAATGAATATAAACCAACAACAAGACCTTTTTGCTTTGTTAATTAATAAATATATCAATACTGAAATGAATACAAAAACTGCGATAAAATCTTTAGATGATTTAAGACAATTTCCAATTCAAACAAGTCCACAATTTATACGAATAATACAAGAGGCATGTAAACAAGGAAATTTTGAAGTATTACAATATTTCTGTGAAAAATTTCCTTCTTTCATTGACCAACCAAATGTTCAAGGAGAAACTCCATTATTTATTGCTACAGCCTATAACAAACTTGAAATTGCTGAATATCTTATAAAACATGGAGCAAGTACAAACCATTTATTACCTACTGGAGATAGTTATCTACATTGGATAGCAGCTTCACCACCAAGTTCATTAAAAAATAGTATAATTAATGGAGTTATTGCTAAATATCCAGAGATAGTAAAAACAAATAATATAATACAAGAAACACCAATGCATATTGCTGCATTGGCTGGTGATATTGATGTTGTAAATAAATTAATTGAATGTGGTGGACAACCAACAGATAAAACAATTCGTTGTATTGATGTATATGGATATGCTCAAGCAAGTGGAAACAAAGAGTTAATGGATTTATTAAAACCTTTATGTAAAAAAGACCAAATAATACAAGAACAAAAATTAATGGGTATTGCTGGTTATGCTATAAGTAGACCAGACTCTTCTTCATTACCTAGCTCAAATAGTAACTCTTCTACAAATGATACTATTAGTGATAATGAAGATACATTCAATATTGAATGTATTGAATTAGACCCAAATGAAGATACAACAGTAGAAGGATTATATAAGAAATATCAAACATATAACTTACCAAAACAAAGTAAATTAAAGAAATTTATGAATAAAATAGTTAAATATCCTAGTATTAATCAATTTAAAAGAGAAACTATGGTATTAATTAAAGAGGCATTTTTATCAAGAAGAATGATGGAACAACCAAATAAATATGGAAAAGGAAAGAAATATAGAATTATCTCTCTTGATGGTGGAGGAATTAAGGTGCTTATGGAAGTTATTTTACTTCAAAGATTATCTGCAGAATTTCCTGATATGTTTGTTAATTGTAATTTGTTTTGTGGATGTAGTGCATCAAGTGTTGTTGCTGTTACGTTGTCAATGGGATATAATTTGGATGGTTTAATGAAATTGATTGAGCATGTAATTCGATATTCTTTTAAGAAAGATTCTATTCAGTCAGTCACAAATTCTAAATACATCAATGACTATTTAAGAGCTTTTGGAGAAGTTGCATTTGGTAATTTAAAATTACACGATTTACCACGACATGTTCTTATTCCTTCATTCCTTATTGATAGTGGAATTGATTCAGAAACAAGACATTGCAAATCAGAAGCATTTAATAATATTATTCCAGGAAATGATACAGAAAAAGTTGCTGATGTGTGTTTGAGATCTGCTGCTGCACCAAGTTATTATAAACCTTATCAAAATTATGTAGACGGTGGTATTGTAGATAATGTTCCTTGTGGAGTAGCTTGGCCATATTTAATTGGTGCAAAAGGTATTGGAATTGATCCTAAAGATATTGTTTGTTTATCGTTATCTGCTGGAAGACCAACTCCAGCTCATCTTGATGCTCAAAAAATTGGTAATGGTGGATTAGTTCAATGGGCACCTGTTTTAGCTGATTTATTTATGTTGGCAAGAAGAGATGAAACTGTAAAAGAAGGAAAATTATTATTTGGTGAGAGGTTTCTTCGAGTAGATCCAATATTACCTGGACAAATTTTATTAGACAATGTAGAACAAATTGAAGAAGTTAAAAGAATTGCACAATCATATGACCTTGAAGAAATTAGAAAATGGATGAGAGAATATTGGGAATAAAAAAAATCTTACTTCAATATTTTTTAATGTTGTCATTTGTTTATTTTTAAACTTCTTCTATTTGTGTAGGAATTTGAGATGGTGTTGGAGATTGACTTTTTTCTTGTAATAATGGAAAAGGAATATCTTCTACTTGTGCACTAACATAAAATGCAATTTCAGCATCAACATCTTTGTCTTCTGATTGATATGAACATTCTATATAAAGCAATTTGTTTTGGTTAATCATAATTGTGATTTTCTTTGAATGTTTTAATGCTTTTCTAATACATTTAAATTGACTTAATCTATAACGAGCAGAGAATGTTTGATAACATTCAAATTTAACAAATGAATTTTGTGAATAATGAGTAGATACAGAATCAGAAATAGAACTAGATGATATTGTTAATGTACCATCAATATTAGCATCAAATATTAGATATAAATGGTTCCATTCCATTGTTCCAAATGATGGGATTAAAGGTTGATAAGAAGAAGTTATATATAATAATACTCTAAATTTACTAAAATCAAATATGTTTGCTGGACAAATAGAATCTGAAATTGGGTTAATTTTCATTCTAACTGTTATAATGTTATTTTTAGATTGAAGCAATATTTCATTTGATTCTAATATAAAAATATCTACATTAAACCGCACTTCAGATATGATAGAATCAAAAAATAATACCAACTCTTTTAGTGGAATCTTTACACTGAATTCATTGTGATTATTATCAAATATATATGAATCAAAAATATCCTTTTCCCAAAATACAATTGTTTGGCAAACACTTTTTTGTTCTGAAACTATTTTAATCCCATATTCATCAATCCAAAGTGTAACATTATTATTTGGAAGTTCTTTGTTAAATAACGTTTCAATGGTACTTTGGAGAATCTTACCTTGACAAGTTGAAAATGAATAAATACTATGTTTCATTGATTGTACGTTATCACTTGTACATGTTAAAATACTTGCTCTTGTTCTTCCAAGTATATCTTGAGATGTAACTATTGGATCAACAGACATAATTAAGAATTTGAGATAAAGATTTTATTTTTTATCTTTCTTTATTAGTAATTAGTAAGTTTATTTCTTTGTTATTAAGTTTATTCAATAAATTTTCAGAACATAAAACAAAAATCTGAAAAAGAAAAAAAACAATCAAAATTAACATCGTAGTATAATCCAATGAATATAGAAAGTGATGATTTTGAAATTAGTCTTGGGTTACCAGATATTGAGATGGAGTCTACTCCATTAACCTCTAATAATCCTTTCGAATTGTTAAGTGATGATACAATCTTCTCAATTACTCAATTTTTAAGTCCACGAGATTTACTTTCATTTGGTGAAACAAATCGTCGACTATGGTATATTTGTAGACGGGATGAAGTTTGGACTTCGTTAGTATTAAAGACAACTGGGAGAGTGACTTATACCCGTAAAGATGCCATTAATAGTTTAATTCAAAAACACCAAGAAGATACTGAATTGGCTGAACAACAACTTGAATTTAAACAACAAGAACATCATAATAAAATAGAACGTATATTATTTAAAATTCGAGATGGAGTTAATTGTTGTGGAATAGAAATTACAACAATTTTATTATTTTATTTCTCAGTTGTTCTTCTTCAACTAAAAATTGAAGGAACGCTTAACATAGGATATTGGCTTCCTTTACTCTTTTGTTTACCATTTGTCTTTTATTTCACTTTTATCCCAACATTTAATTTTTGTGTTGGAAAATATGCAGATGAAGATGACCCACCAGTGAGATGTTTCTCTTCTCCAATACAGACAGCACGTTATTTATTCATATTTAATTCACGTGGAATAGGAATATTAAATGAGCCATGTATTTTGATTAATTATATTATTCTCTTTGCTGTTTCTTTAGGAGTTCCATACTATATTTTTCCAGTCGTATTATTATTATGGCTATTACTTTGGGTATTTAGTGGGTGTTTTGTTTGTGATCATTACCCAAAACCACAAGCATGGAGAGGAATTTTAAGTATTTCATCAGGTAGTATTTTAATTATAGCAGTCATAACTATTGTTATGAAAATAGAAGACTCAATAGATATGTCATATCAGTTAGTTTTTATTCCATTGTACATCTTCCTTTTTATTGCTTTTTTGTTTCCAGTATTTACATTTATCTTTTTTTGTAGTTTGTGTCTTTGCAATAAATCATTAGATGAAAATGGATGTTGGAATAATGTTTGTTGTTTCAATGTTGGAACACCTGATCTTGCTGCATTAAAAAGTTTGTTTTTTATGTTAGTGGCAAGTATTTTATGCCCATTTACTATGACTTTTATTGGATTGTTAGCTACCAATTTAGATGGAACAGATGATGTATCATTTTATATTTCATTTCTTCCATTAGACATTTTGGGAGTATTTTTGATGATATTATATGTTGTGGGAAAGAGATATGAAATAACTCATTTGTGATTATTCTTATTATTTTATTGGAATAAAAAAAAAAATTTTCATCTCATAACTTTTCAGTGACATGGGATTTTTCGATTTCCCTTTAATTTTTATTTCTTTACCAATAACTCTTATTATTGTTATTATTATTGCTTATCTCATTGTGTTTATTATTGGAGGTATTTGTTATGTTTATTCATTTTTCCTTTTCAAAAGAAAGGATTGGGATTATACCGGAAAACATATTTTTATTTTTGGTGGAAGTGCTGGTGTTGGACAAGCTATTGCATTAAGACTAGCAAAAAAAGGGGTACATCTTTCCATTGCATCTAGGTCAGAAAATAAATTAAAAGAAACTCAAGAAAAATGTTTAATAGAAAATTCAAAGACAACATGTGATTATTATATTTGTGATATGGGAAATACTGAAGATGTTAAAAAAGCCTTAGAACAAGCTGTAAAAAAATATGGAATTCCATCCCTTCTTATTAACAGTGCAGGAATTGCACATCCAGGGTTTATTGAAGACATGACTTATGAACAATATGAAAAGGATATGAACTTAAATTATTTTGGTTGTTTAAGAATGATGAAAGAAATTAAAATTTTATTAGATTCTAATCCAACTATAGAAAGAATTGATATTGTTTGTATTGGATCATGTCTTGGATTAATTGGATCAATTGGATATACAGCATATTGTCCAACTAAATTTGCTATTAAAGGTCTTCTTGATTCATTAAGATTTGAATTTTTAGGAACTAATGTTCATCTTCATTATTATGCACCATCTAACATGGACACTCCAGGTTTTGCTATAGAAAATGAACACAAACCAAAATTAGTTGCGTCTATGGAAAATAATGTTCAAACTGTTACTGCTGATTATGCAGCACATGCTTTACTTTGTAACCTTGATCGATATGTTATTACATCAGAACCAGACTTAGACTTATTAAAGAATGGACCAACATTTATGTCAAGTCATACTATACAAGACTTTCTTATTTGTCCATTATCTGCTTTAGGAACAACTTTTTATCGAATGATGATTGAAAAGAATATTTTAAAGAATGTTGACCATAAAAAAGATTAACAGTTGAGATGAAAATTAAATTAATTTTATTCTTTTATTTTGAATATTGTTTTATATAATATCATTAAAAGAAATGTCACAATCGAAAATTATTTTAAATAACTACATAATTCTTTTACATTATCATTTTTTTTCTTTGAAAGAATAAGTTACAATATATCAAACTGTTGTAGGTTCTACTAAAGGTGGAAAAGATGTTCTTTCAGTATAAAAAGAACGAGCTCTTTTAATAATATTATGTACATTAGCAGATGATGGATATTTCTGTAATGTTTTTAAGCAATAAGAAAAATCTCCATTAAGTAGTTGTTTCTTGATTTCTACTAACATTGATACACACAAACAACATATAAAATCACCTGTAGGATCTACTAAAATACAATCCCATACTAATAAAACACTTTCTATTGGAAATTCTTGTGCAAATAATAATGTTACCCACCTAAATGAATATAATGTATTTGTGATATTTAATAATACTAAATGTTCATAAAGTTCTGGTTCTTTCATTGCTAAAACAGCATCTATTCGTGCTAATTGTGCATGAATACCTCTTGACGTCCAATCAAGTTTTGGTGAATACCAATCACTTATTTTAGTCATTAAATAAGCAAAACAATAATAAGTAGTTGATTCTGCTCTTGCTCTTGAAGTTGATTGTGCAAAAACATAAAATAATACGCCAGCAATATCATTCATTCCTTGGACATATGGATATGTTTTATTGAATTTAGTCTGTACGTAAAGAATATGTCTAATACATTCTCTATTTTTTTCTTCCTAGAATAATTAGTAAAAAATAATTCTTTGTAATTGAATAAATAAAACAACAAACTAAGAAGAATGGAGATTTAGGAAATAATCTTTTAACATCCTTATCAATTTCATATAACAACAATTGATCAGCATCAGTTGTTTCATCAGTAACATTAATCTTTTGGCTTGGAAAGAAATCTTTAAGAAAAGTGAGATAATCTTTGTGTAGCAAATTGTCAGTTTCTTCCCAGGTGTGTTTTTGGCATGAATAGACATTTAGTAATAATTTCCATACGATGGATCTTGATTCTTCTTCATTTTCTCCGTTAATACCATATTGAAATACTGCTTGTCTTATTTTATTAATTTCTATAATTTCAGGAAGAAGAAGTTTTTGTAAGATATTATTCTCTTTACGACGAAATAATTTCATTATATTCTTTTAAGTTTTTATTGAATTTTCTTGTTCTTGTTTTTTGAATTTTTTTTTTTGATTTTCAAATCCTTTTCTTTTTACCTTATTAAACTCAATTTTTTAAATGCATGAAATGAAGGAACTTAAGAACTTATTTTTGTAATTGATGAGTTTATCAAATACAAGAAAAATAAGTCGAGAAGAACTTCATAAACAATATCTTAGTGATCCATGTAAATTATTATTTAATGAATTTATTGTTGATGCCTTTAAATATCAAATTAAGGGATATAAATATTTCTTATTGTCACATTTTCACTCAGACCATTATCTAGGATTGTCAAGTAGATGGAAGTGTGGAATAATTATAGGCACTGAAATTACATTAAATTTAGTAAGATATAAGTTCAAAGTAGAAAATGAATATCTTTATGTCATTCCATTAAATACACCAACTTATTTTGAAGGATCAAATAATGATGGATATATTGTTACAGCAATTGAAGCAGGACATGCACCTGGAAGTTGTTGTTTTGTAATTAAAAGAATAAGTGATGGAATAATATATCTCCATGTTGGTGATTTCAGATTTGATTCAACTTTACAAAACGATAAAAACTGGAAGGAATATGTCTTTACTCAACATATAAATACATTATTTCTTGATACAACTTATTGTGACCCACAATATAAATTTAAAGAACGACAAATTATTTGTAATGAAGCAGTTAAAATTGTTAAACAATCAATGGGGAAAACTTTGTTTATTGTTCAAACATACACTATTGGAAAGGAGATGTTTGTTGAAGAAATAGCACGACAAACTGGGATAAAAATACATGTTGATGAGAACAAATATTCAATTGTTAAATTATGTAAAAGAGATTTATCATTATATACATTAGAAGAGTCTTCTTTAGAAATAAGAACAAGTACATCAAATAGTAGTATAACATCTTTAACAGTAGAATTATCACAATTACCAAATAAGTATGATAGAATTATTATATTTCAACCTACTGGATGGGCTAAAAAAACAACTTGTAAAGGTTCTTTTGAAGTTAAAGAATATAAAATGCCATATTCAGAACATAGTAGTTTTAATGAATTAATTGACTGTTATAAAATGATTCATGCTGACCATGTTATTCCTTCTGTTATTGGTGAAGGTCAAACTTCTCAAAAAATTATTGAAATGATAGAAAGAGAAAGTAAACCAAAACCTGGTACATTAGACTCTTTTTTCATCAGTAAAAAAAAATTTAATTCAGAATCTATTGTTCCTCATAAAATAAAAGATTTTCATGAACCATTACTTTCAAATAAACAAGTTGTTTCTTCAATAATAATTGATTAATATTTATTACATTTAATCAAATAATATCATTAAACAAGGATAATATCAGTTAGTATTAATGAAACTAATATGAATGTTAATTACATAACCTTTAAAAAAAAGAAAAATAAACAATTAATTAGGTATTAATAGAATTAGTTTCTATTGTTCATTAACCAGTGGAGATTAATCACATTCATGAACTATTTTCTATAAACTCTAATGAATACGTTTACTTGTGATAGATTCAATGCTCCATGTTATTTATCATATTTTTAATGACATGATCTTTTTAATTTCTTTTAACTGTCATTTTTATTTCTTTATTTAATACTTGAAGTATTTATTATTCATTTGTTTCAATTTATTATTTCAATTCTTTTGACATTTCTTTGTTTCTCTATTTTCTTTATTCTATTCTTTATTTCATTTTCTTCATTTATTTCCATTGATATTTTGATATGAAACATTATTCATATCATTTATTTGACTCATTTAATTCTTTTTTTCTTTTAATTATATTTTATCTTTGTATTTTTTTTCTTTTATTGCAGTTGTATAGTGTCTATTCCTGGTGTTTTCCAGTTACTTATTTTCATTATACTTAAATTTAATTCATTTATTGTTATTATGACACTATCATAATTTCTATATCTTTCATTCCACGATGTGATTTGTTTTATTTTCAATTTATCTTTATTTAATATCACCTGTGTTTCATATAACGATTTCCAATATTCTAAAGTAATATCGTTATTTGGGTATATTTCATTTTTTGTTTCTTCCTTATTCTAATTTTCTTGTTAGAATCAAACATTATTTTATTTGTATTGATTCTGATTATTTCATCTTTATTAAATTTAATTCTTTCTTTCATCATTGTCATCATATATTTTAGGTACTTTATTCTTTCTAGTGCTTTGACTTTAATTCCTTATTCTTCATGTTCATTTAATTTCATGATGTACTTTATTCTGTACCATTTCCTTCCCTTGACCAAATCTTCTAGTCTATTTATTTTCTTTAGGATTTCTTTTATTTCATCAAATTTGTCTCTTATTATTTTATTTTGGAGATATATGTGCATAACCATTGAAATCTTCTTCATATCATCTTGCAGATCCTGCATTCTGCTTCCTGACCATACCCATATATTGTTAATTTCCATTATCAATTCGTCAGCTTCTTTTCTTTTCCAGTAGTAATTAATGTTTGTACATTTTCTACTTTCATTTCTTTTATTTTATTGATGAGAGTGTTAAGATATTCTTCATCAATTTCATTGGAGTTATTCTTTATTATGATGTTTTTATTATTGAATTACACTCTACTCTTCCTTCTATTATATCATTTACTTTCATTTTAATGTATTGTTTAGTACTTTCTTTTATTTTATGTGATATTTTAATATATTTAATATATTCATTTTCATTACTTACATTGATGTTTATTACTTTTATTATATTTTCTATTTGTTCCCATCTTAATTTCTTATATAATTTCTTATTCAATCAACTAATTGCAAAAACAATATAACACTTCAATTAATATTCTATTTCTTTGTTTTGTTGTATTTCTTGTCTGATTATCATTATGTTTTGTTTGTTATTTATTATTCTTGTAATTTTTACATCTTTCATTCATTTCTTTTTTTTGGATTTTTGTTTTTAATTACTTCTTCAATTATTTTATTGTCTTTTTCTTCAATTTCTTTTGTTTTTAATTTCTTCTTTGATTCTTTCAATTATCTTTTTCTTTTTGATTGAATATACTTCTTGAAGGATATCATACCATCTTTTCCTCTTACCTTCATATTTTTTAAGTATTTCCTCATATTCTCCTTTATTCCACTCACTTCTTATTCTTTTGATTATTTCACATCATTTATTGTTAGCCATTTGTATTTGTTATGGGTGTAATCTTTATTATTATTGTATTTATCTTGTTTCTTATTTGTTTTTATTTGTGTCTTTCGTCTTCTAAACCATTTTCCTTAGTATTTCTTTTACCATTATTATTGTTATTATTGTTATGCTATTTATTGCTATTGAAATTCATTCTTTTGTACAACATTGAACTTCTATGTTTTGTTTGTTTTTCTTTACAATACACAAAGGTTTTACACACTAACTATGGCATTAAAATTTGATGTATTTCTTGCATTTGAAAAGGATTTTCTTATGAAAATAATGATTAAAGAAAAAAATAAACCAATTATTAGAACAGATAATTTTATAAAAAAAACATGAAAAATAAATTTGATAAACAAATATATTTAAAATGAAGAGAAATTATTTTTTTTTAGAACAGAACAATTAAAATTTAAAAACAAAAATGTTATGATACTAATTTAATGATAATCTCAATTTACACTCAAAACTATAAACTTTTCTAAATCTCTTTTACATTATTTTCGTGATTACAATAAGTTTTTCTGGTTTGTTTCAGGTTATGAGTTAGTTTTTCAAAATAAAATAAATATCTAAAAAGCGACATGACAAAGAAGCATAACACACAGTCGATTACTTAAGTTCAAAAATAAGATAAAGAACGACTACTACGACAGCAATGAAAACAAAACCAATTCCGAGAATCAAATTAGCAATAGCCCATAATTTTTCTCTTCTGTCTTGGCTTTTTAATTTCAAGCATCCAATAATCGTAGCACAAGGTAAAATGATTGACACAATAAATCTATGTATTAGAGCTGAATCTTATGAACCAATTTTCATTGACAACTTTTATAAATAAACACTTCTCAGCACAGTATTAAAAAATTAAATGACAAACGTATATAACCCAACTGGAGTTCGATTTAAATCTTCTAAAATATCTTGATTTGATAATGACCCTGAACCTTTTGAAGGTCCTCCTTTTGATAACCCTTTCTTTGATTTTTTACTTCTATGGTCATGGGTAGTTCCTTTCGTTGACCTTCCTTTTGTAGTCATCCCTTGACCCTTTCCAGTACCTACAGTAAGGAATTGTTGTCTTGTTGCAGTAGCAGTGGTTGTAGTGGTAGTTGATGTTGTTGACATGATGAATCGTTTTTTAAATTTATGAGTTTCATTATGTATTTTTAGTACTAAACACAAGTTAAGCTACTAATTTTATTTTAAGGTGCTATATTTTATAACCATTTTAACTATAACATATGATTAAATGAATCTATATGAAAACAAATAAGAAAATTACTCTAAGAAACTAATCCCAAAAAAAAAACTTGAAAAGATAAATAACAAAAAGCAATCAAATTGACTTACATAAAAACTAGGTTTTTATAATATTAAAGAAATAAATTAGTAGATTTTTCTCTTATTTTATTTCCTGATAAATTAAATTCTTTTTTTACAACAGTACTTAAATTAGATTCTTGAAATAAGAAATAACAAAATAACAAAATAAAAACATAAAAAAAGGGAAAAAAGGAAAATAAAATAAAAGTAATTATGAAATTAATAAAAAAAAAGAAGAATAACCTAAAATCTTACTATCATTAATTATGCAAAGCTATTTGTTGCAAATACGTTTAATAGCCAATAGCCTTTCTAAGAAAAATAGTAAACAAACAACTCCTGAAATTCTTTCTTTATTAGAAAAAACTGGATTGCAGGGAAAATTTATTTATATTAAAGCCCTTATACTTTCAATTACTTCAGACCCTGAAGTTAAAGAATCATTT